ACTTCATATATATACATATATATATATATATATATATATATATATATATATATATATATATATATATATATATATATATATATATATATATATATACATATATATATATATATATCTATATATATATATATATATATATATATATATATATATATATATATATATATATATATATATATATATATATATATATATATACGCATAACTAGTATAATAAAAATAGAATAAATAAAAAACAAAAAAAAAATATGTTTTTTTTTATGTAATCAAGTTGTTGTTTATGTTTAATTGTTATAAATTTTTTTTTAATAACTTTTGAACGCTTGATAAACTTTTTCGGGTGGGGCTTAACCCCAGTGACAAATTCCTAGATGGAGTCCCAACGCCTCACCACGTTCTACGCTTATATGAACATGAATAAATTCGTTCAAGTTGTAAAATGACCTAAGTTAAACGTAGTTTAAGTTCTTACTCAAACTTTTGATAACTGCACTATGCTATATTTTCAAATATATCGTGGTTTTGTATGAATGAAAAGTATACAAATTTCAGATAATTTTTTTGAAAAAAATGGTCTTGCTTTGTTAAGGAGACTTTTCTTCAATACTTATTTAATTTTATAACTAATTTTCGGATTTCTAAAAGACGTTTTCAAAAATCAGAATCCCTAAAAATTTTATATTCTAAATATTTAGTTACTTGCTCTTTTAAAGTTGTCGTGGAAGAATAAAATAAGATGATAATTTTTTTTTTTTAATCTTTGTTTGATTTTTATGTTTGGTTGAAATGTTATAGTTTTAAGATTTTTGTAAATTTTAATAAACAAATTTTCGCAGAAAGATAAGTTAGCTTTTCTTAAAGTTTTTTAGATAATCATTTTGAATTTACTGCTTTAGATATACGTAAAATTTTTGTTTTTGTTTTGAGAATAATTTCATTTCCTTTACAAATCATAGACAAATTCTTTTTCTTTTTTTAAATTAGAAAACTTTTTATTATTATTATAAGCAGAATATATATTTTATTATGAGCAGAATATATATATATATATATATATATATATATATATATATATATATATATATATATATATATATATATATATATATATATATATATATATATATATATATATATACATATATATATATATATATATATATATATATATATATATATATATATATATATATATATATATATATATATACAGTATTGGACAAAACATTTGCAACCAACATCGAACAATGCTAAAAAGTGTTCCTAATTTTACATGTCTTAAAAACAAAACGAACTATACTACCACAACAAACAGTTCAGGAGTCTGGAGTCATAGCATGCCATGACATGACCAATCAGCGGACAGGTGACAGCACACAGGAAGAATTTCGTTGACAAGTACCATTTTGCAGCGGACAAAACAAGTGCAACTTTTTTGGTTTGTTTCATTTTCTTCAGTCTGGTCCGTGTCAACGTCACGGAAGTTTTTTAATAATTAAAGGAAGTATCCAGAAGTTTCCAGAAGCAAGCAGAAGCTTCCAGAAGTTTCCAGAAGAAGCATCAGGAAGCATCCAGAAGCATCCAGAAGTGTCAAGAAACATTCAGAAGCATCCAGACGCATCCAGAAACTTCCAGAAGCATCGAAAAGAAGCATCTAGAATCTTCCAGAACAAGTTCACACAGGTTCATTTTACTATATAAGAGACATGTAAGCCGACATGTAATTCAGTCAGTATATGGAAGTCAATCGGTCAGTATTATCAAGACAGTTTATCGAAGTGAGTTTTATCAAAGTGTTTTATCGAAGAACAAAAGTGAAATACAATAAGCCTTGAGAAGCGTGGTTATTTATTTTTATTATTTTTATGAATCCAATCTAGGTCCAATACATCGAATCGATGGAATAATGGACCATTTCATGTATAAAAATATCTTGAAAGATGTTAGGTTATTTCATGCTGAATGGAATATGCCAATAAAATGGGTTTTTCACCAAGACAACAATCCGAAACACACTGCAAAAGTAGTCAAGCAGTGGTTTTAAGACAACCACCTATTGGTGATGATTTGACCGCCTAAATCTCTAGATTAAGAAACCTATCGAGAACCTGTGGGAGATCGTCAACCGCAGAATTAATCGTGAAGGTGTTTGTAATAAGGATCAACTGTTTGAACAAATAAACTGTTTGAAAAAAAAAAACAAACAAAAAAAGACCTGGGCAGCAATTCCACAAAGATTCATTGATCACCTGATCGAATCTATGCCTCGAAGATGCAAGGCTGTGATCAAAAACAAAGGATTCGCCACAAAATATTGATAGCGAAATACAGCTTGGTCAACATTTTGTGGAGTTACACTTGTTTTGTCCAAAAGGAAATCAACTTTTTTATTACTTTTGATTTATTTATTAATTTTCGTGTACAAATAATGAACTTTGTGATGAATAAAACTTAAAGAACGTTGTCTTTAAACAGTTACATAGTTATTTCTCTAAATTGAAAAAATGCAGCACTTTTGTATAAAGAAATTAAATTAGCAATATTTGGTTGCACTTGTTTTGTCCGATATTGTATATCATAAGGTTTTCATGAGCCCCTTTGCTTTTAATAATTATTACAAAGTGAAAATTTTAATAATGTAATTTTTATTCATAAGGATAATATTTTGTTTAAGGTATTTTTGATTAGACTGTGTAGTGACAGTCTTTTCAAAAATATTCCAGTCTATCAGTGAAACAAAGTACTTTGCCTACAAAATACAATTAATCGTCCCATTGAACTTATACCTATGGACTTATTCAACTAAATAGAAAAATATTGCGGTTCTTTATTTTCAAGATTTTTTAGTTTGGGCCCCGAACTACAGGGATCTATAATCTGTATATGTAAAACAGTGACGGATCCTGGGGGGAGATTGAAAGTATGCATACTCCTTCCTCCCCCACCAGAATCTGAAATACCTAAAATATTTTAGAAATAGAGGACCTTTTTTTTTTTTAGGAGACACAAATATGGTACAAAATACAAAAATATTTCAACATCCTCCCACCACTACTACCACCATCACGACCAAAAATTTCTGGATCTGTCATTGAAGTAAAAATGTTATCCACATTCTTACTTAAACTCTTACACTGTACTTTATGGATAAAAATTTATGACTTGCCACAAAATATTATATATAGATTCATGCTTAATTAAAGAGTGATTCTAACGGTTAACATTACAGCAAATTCTGACTAGATCTCGTACTCTTTAATTTTATTATCAATGCAAAAATATGACTGAGAAAGTTGTAGGTTTGAAACCTTTAACCTAGTACCTAGTTTCCCTAGTACCTAGTTTACCTAGTATTAGTTTACTTTATCAATTAGCATTTATCTTACACAAATATCAAATGATTTTTTTTAACGAAAACAAATGTTAAGAACCAAAATTCAAACAAGTTCAAATAAAAAATGTAAATTTTACGTTTTCTATCTGATTATAATCCAACTTTATAACATCTCTTTCGTACTGAATACTTAATAAAAAATACCCAAACTAAGTTTATTGTATATACTAAATACAATTAGCTTTCCTTACATTATCTTAGCAGCATCTATTTTCTTCTAAAAAATTTTTAGAATAAATAAAAAATACTATAAAAAGTTTTAAAAATTTTTTTAGAACTTTTTATAGTGTTTCTAATATAATATATCTGCTTTTTCCATTTCTTTTAATTAAAAGGAAACTAAAAAAAACACTGAAACCAATAAGCAAATTTCATTCTGTTGGTTTGTTTTAGTATTGAGCCATTAGAATCCTTGCTTTGTTCTACTAGAAGATTTATGCAAATTAAAATGCATTTATATATTTTTTTTAATATGCGTAAAAATGGGTGATCCGACCATTTTTCAAATAATATTAGTTTAATATTAGTTACAAATATTAATTTAGAAATATTACTTAAATATTATTTAGAAATAGTCTGGTTTCAAAAAAATTATTCAAGAACTCTAAACTAAAAAAATTTAGTGAGGCAAATTTTACTTTGAAAAAAAACATAGGAAGGTAATCAGGAAGAATAAGAATGAATTTATAGATATTTAAAAATATATATGTGTTTTTCAGACTTTTGCTTCTTCTACAAACAATATATCTCATTAAATATTTATGTTTCAGCAAGGGCTGATCAAGAGGGAAAGGAAGACAGCGGTGTTTGGATTCCTAGACTTTTTGAAAACAATTTTTTTTTTTTTTTTTTTTTTTTTTTGTATTTCTACTTAATTCATGTTTTCTGAAAAATAAAAAAGTAATTAATTAAAATCTTTGGCATACAAAATTCGCCGAATGGTCACACACGAGCAGTAAACGCCTGAGGGAAGAAATGAAGTTCATTAGAATAAAGGATTATATATAAAAAAATATAATTATTTTTTGAACTTAGCATATTTTGACATTTGTCAAGACAAAAAAAAAGATTAATAGAAAAATATTTAAAAATAAATAAGACAGACAATGCACCTAAAACAGTACTTAACAATAATAACAAAAGAAATTATTTTATAAACACTAATATGAACAAAGATATACAACAAATATGCGGAAAAAAAAAAGTAATTTAGGTTTATAAATACACTGCTTAAAAATAATATAAAGTTTTGATAGTTTTTGTCATCATTGCAATTCAAAGTGGACACCTGGCTAAAAAAAGACGTCTTTTGAACGTTCAAAAGACGTCCAAAACGTTCAAAAGACATTTAAAAGACGCTCGATATGTTTGAAAGACATTCAAAAGACTTTTTTCTTATGTCCCATGCTCACTGGGTAAAGATCGACAGGTATGTTTCTATATAAACCTTGCGCAGACCTGTCAATCTTTAGTTTACTTAACTATTAAACTTAAATTAAAAAGTTTTTTTCTACTTTTTAGTACAAAAAAATATATATTTTTGAGCAAATTTTTTTGCTATATTTTACTTATTTTTATTATTTTTTAACTAAAACAGTATAAATACCTTTTTTGGAATCTGCAATTGTTTGGGTAACAAAAAACTAAAAATAAAAGTCAAGAATTTTTTAAATTGTTTCATTTAAAATGTTAATTTAAAAAAATAAGTTCTAGTTGCATTACTTGTTTTTTTTTAATCGTTTTATTATTAAGTTTTAAATTATTTTGTCATTATCCAGTTTTGATAACAACTTAACAAATTAAGTTCTTAAATTAACTTAAACTCATATTTTAATTATCTGGCTAAAATCTTTAAAAGTAATTATAAAAATAGTTATAGAAGTAATTATAAAAATGAGTAAATAATTATCTCACCAATATTAAACAAACTGTTTGAAAATTCATTTTGATTTTGTGAATCATTAAAGTTCTTCACATAACAGTTTTTAAAAACTTACGTAATATCTTTAGATGTAGCAGGTTGATTGTTTTTCGAACAATTAGGGAAAGAAGGGGGTTGATTTATCTACAAAATAAACTTTTATTATTTTTTATAATCCTTTTATTTCTCGAGATTTTGTAATCCAAACATGACGTAAATACAACTTAAACAATTTTTTGTGTAAATAAATTAAAAGCTTTAACAGTAAATTAGTAAATTGTGAAAAACATCTTTCTTGATTTAAGTTTTAAAGAATGTTTTTTCAAATAAATACTACCAGAAATACAACTAATATTAAAACTAAGTTTAAATTTTTTATAATATAATTTGTTTAGATAAAAAAGCGCATCGAAAAAATAACGCAGTTTTTGCACCTTTAAGGAAAAATAGGGTTAATCTTGTTTAGAAAAAAATTGGTGTAAAATGAGTTGTTAACATTGGCTACAAATTGAATTAGAAAAATAAATTTAAAAACTAGTTAGTTTATACTTGAATACATAATGTAAAACACATATTTAAACATGTTTTAGTGTTTGCCTAGCAACATGGTTCTTTTGCATTTAAATGTTATATTTTATATAACATGTAATAAATAACAGAGTTGCGAAATTTCTTTTTTATTATTTATTTGTTATTCTGTAGTATTTTAGAAATGTTGTATGCGGTAAAAATATCTAGAAATTAATAAATAATTCTAGAAATGGTGTATAGTATCTTACGCATTTAAACCTAGTTTACCGCTACTATTCTCATTAGCGTTGCTTTACAAACCGTAGCATTTTGCCTTTAAAGCTAAATCAACCAAAATTTTAAGCTTTAAGCAAAGTTTTTGTAATCTAATTTTTAAATCACACTGTTTTTATCCGAAATTAGAGGTTAATGTCTCTAATTGCGGGTGTATATAAAATGTTAAAAAACACAAACACAATTAATTCTAACATTAAATTAATTAAGCTGATCTATTAACAAAATGGAATTATTTTAACTAAAAAAAAAAATCCATTTTATTCGTATTTATTACAAATAAATTCCATAGTTGGAAATAATCAACAACACATGCAATGCACAGTGGGCTAGAAGTGAGCAAAACCTTTTAAAACCAAGTAATTGGAGTAATTTCTTTTTGTAAATGTAATCTAGAGAACCCCAGCACTCTAAAACAGATATAATTTTTTCCCTACTGTGATTTTTGAGCATCATGAGTATCTTAATTTTAACACAAAAATTTTATTTTTCAAATATCGGTGGAAATGTAAAAAATCATATAAAAATAAAACTTGAGAAAAAATATGAAAATTTATTTTTTATGTTTGCGTTTTTCTAAGTGTTTTTTAATAAAACCCTTTGAAATGCGCAACATTTTTTTAACAATTGCCATTACACAAGCAGAAACACTAGGCCGCTCTAGGCCGCACATGTGATGTACTTTAAATTACATAGATAATTAATTTCTCATAGATAAAAATTTACAACTAAATTTTTTGAGCTCAGCTGAGCGTAGTGGGTGCTAGGCTTTTTATTATAAATGATATCCAATCGTAAATTCTGTTTTAAAAACTTAAGAAGGCGCATAAAATACTGTTTTAATCATTTAAATCTCGTTAAAATCTTTTTTCAGTGGTATTTTTAATGTTATAGTGAAAAAGTTATGGAACATTTTATGAAGGAGAAGGTAAAATATATATATATATATATATATATATATATATATATATATATATATATATATATATATATATATATATATATATATATATATATAACTATTTGATAGCCTGCCCAAACCAAACCCTTAGTTGATGTACCAGCACTCTGTTACGAGTCAGGCTATTTGTCAGTCGATGTAGCAGCACTCCGTTGCGAGTCAGGCTATGAGATAGTAGAATTAGCAACACTCCGCACATGTTTTATAGTTAAAAAATAAAAATTTTATTTTAAATAAAGCTTTAAAATAGATTATTTAGAATTGTTTTTTTTTTATTATTATTTTTATCATAAAGATAATGGTCTTTAAAATATAATGTTTTGTTTCGCAAAAAAGTTCACATTTTACCGGTTCGCAGCTTGCGGTGCGCAGTTTGCATTTTACCGACAACCGAGGAATTTTTCCGGGGGGATTTTTCCGGGAGGATTTTTTCTCGGGAGGATTTTTTACGGGGGGATTTTTTCTCGGGGATTATTTCTGGGGAATTTTTTCAAGGAAGATTTTTTCCCGGGGGATTTTTTCCTGCTACCTCATTTAATATGAAGTTTATAAAAAAAGTTGTTGTTAGCCGTTTCGTAGCGCCATTTTTAATGTTTTTTTTTTAATATTATTGGCGAACCTTCAAAATCCTTTATTTTTAAATTATTATAAACGTACCTATTTGTGTCAACGTATAAAAATTAAGCGGTTGACAACAAAAGACATCAAGACTGTACGTCTTGATGTCTTTTTCTTATTGTTTACGAAACAAATGGTTACAAGTATAGTCCCGAATAATTTCAATGCGAATGAACTTCCATCTGTTTTATACTTCCATGGTTTGATTAAGACCGATTAAAGGTTTGCAATATTGACTAATGTAACTCGATATTCTAAACGTTAGATTGATGTTTAGTAAATGTATATATAAAAAAGTTGGAAATATAAATATTTTAAATTACGCATCGATTTTTAGTCAACAATAGGTCCCCAAACGTTTTATCCATTTTTCGATCAATTTCGACTAAATATTGACCAATTCTGAACCAATCTGTGTTTACTAAGATTTTATCAAACCTGGCCCCGGCCCCGGTCAAATATCAACCCCTATCGTTTACTAGTATGATCCGGCAAAGGCCAAAGAAAATAGAATTTTCAGACACTTTTTTTTTTAAAAACTCTAAGCTCATAAGTGAAGCATGACCATCAAGAATTAGAAGTTTTAAACCTAAAAGTTTATTTGCGAGATAAAAAAAACTGTTTTATACCATAATAAAAAATTTTGGGATTCCATCTAGTCTGAATTACTAATGTTATAATAAACATGCTCGGCCTTTTAAGGATTTTTTGTTCCTTTTTAACAACCAATTTCGACTTTACCTTGATCAAAAATGCAAACCTGACTCATCACAATTAATAAAACTAAAACGAAAATATAATGTTATGAAACGTTTTATTGCCTAAACTATGTTTATTATACGCTGTTGGTAATTGTTCAAACTAATTGTCAATTATAGCTGGCTCTGTGGCCACTGCTCTGATAGTTTGCATTCCGCTTACTTTTCTGAGGTAAATTTCTTTAGGATTTTTATTTATGAAAAGTACCATTTTCTAGTCAGTTTGCCGTCTTTGAATAAGCTAATTTTGTTTAATTCTTTCTAATAATTTTCCACTACAATCAACGCTTTCCTTACGGGCGATCTGAATTTAGATTTGTTAAAATATAACAAAAATAAAGACGTCAGAAAATGTTTTAATGTTTTATTTTAAAATGGTTTCTCTCCAACAATAAATAAATCAACTAGAATAACAAAAAAATAGTGCCACTAAATAAAGTTATCCAGTCAAGTGATTCTATGTATTTTGATATTTCCTTGTACACTGCTTTATTCCATATATAGCGTGTTTGCGTAGTTAATTGATGCCTCTTTTCAACATTTGTGGTCTTAAAAATGCCCAAAATTAAGCTGTGTGCTTGTCTTTGTGCTGTAGCTTGCAATGGCGTTTCCTCTTTGATATTGATGATGCAATCCGGTTCTTCACTGATGATTAGATCACTGATGATTGGTGCGCTTAGCAGATAGTGTCTCTATGTCAGAAAAGTCATTACTTGTGATAAGTGATTATCCACAAGGCGTGCCTGAAAAGCCGTATCGCTTGGCCAGTTTTTGGAAACATGATTTACTGTGGCTATTCCTCCACCTAAGTCTATTTGTTCGTAATTTTTGTGTGCGAAATTAAAACAATTGTAAACTAGCATCGTTGCTCATCCAATAATGTTCAATACCGCCTTCGATTTAGCTAGTGACGTTATTGTCTCAAGGAGCACCGTTTAATTTAGATCATGGGTCGGTATATTGATCCAAGAAGAATATTCTCCTTACCAAAAGCAATATATTGCCAAACTTGTTTAATTAGTTTTTTTTTTAGTCTAGTTGGCTAACTTTGAGCCCGGTTAGCTTGTAGTTTTCTCGCAGAAATGTAACATTAAGTCAAGATGTTTTATTTTCTTACTCAATGTGTCTTACAAAACGGAAAAGCTCTTTCACTCTCCTCCTACCCCCACCCTTACCCCAAACGGGAGGGGCAATAAATTGGTTAAATATTTTTTTGTACTATTCTCAAATAGAATTTAATTTCATCGATAAATTTTAGGTTTCATAGTATTATCTCTCAGCGTTCAAAAATTATGACCATTTAAATTCAAATCACCCATTAATTTGAGGGGGTTACAAATTTTATAGGGTCATAATTTTTGAACGCTATGAAATAATACTATAATAAAGTATTGTTGAGAATCATCGCATCCAATTTTTTGTACATCCTCATTATTTGACCTAAGTATAAATATAAAAATGTTTGAAGTTTGCTTCATGTCTGTCATGAATGAACCTGTTTAAAATAGTTAACCATTTTTAAACAGGGTCATTCCACGTCAAGTTGTCCAGAGGTCCCCGTTCTATCATCTCCGAGTATAATAAAATTTTGTCAGTATGTTTTAAAACATGTTTTATGAACATTGCCAAATATTTAGATCAAAATGTTTATTATTTCGAGTTTTGTGGTACTTTTTGTAAAGCTTACCCAAACTTTAATATCAGTCTGTAGCTAAAAACTGTATTTTTGGGGTCTTATATTTTCGTAATAAACAAATAATATATCTTATAAACGTCGTTTCTTAGCAAACCGAAGATGGTGACTAAAAAAAAAAGAAATCAAGTTTCATATTATGCCTACATTTTGTCTATGGTTCACCAAATACCGTCACAAATTCTACACTATAAATTTTTTTCTGTTTTTTGTAGGGTCATATATCCAGAACAAAAGGTTTTTTTAGTATTGTTATTTTGTCTAAAGGTTCAATATGCTATCATATTGATATAGATTAAAATCAGCTTTTTTATAAATATCTCTTTTGGGTTATTTTGGAAGCAGTATAGCGAAAAAAGTGAAATACCCTAAAATAACGTGTGTTTGAACCCCTCAAACTCAATATAGGCAAAGATGCATCTTTGGAAAGAGCTTATTTCACACTTCTAGAAACAATAAAAGTTATTTTCGAGAAGTCTTTCTTATGAACGAAAAAAACTTGGTCAATATATAAATTCTTTTAATTTTAAGATTTTGTCCTAAACATAAAGGTTTATACTGCATTAAAATCAAAGCTTGATGTACCAAAAGCATCAAAATATTTTTATGTTCAGAGAATTATTTTTAGCATTTGCTTGAGTTATTTTAGAGTTATTTCAAGTAAACAAATTAGCAAAATGTGAATCTTAATATTTAACGTAAAAATAACTGCAAATAAGTGTTTTTTTTTGACAAATTCATTTTCGTGTATTTTGATTATATAATTACTTTATTTCCAAACCAATGCATCTTCAAAAAAGTTGATCTCAAAACAAATAAAGAATTTAACCTTCTTTTTAGCAGATAATACAAAAAAAGTTTGTCCCTGTAGGCAACTGACTATAGGCGCCAACCAAAAATGGGGGCCTTTTATTTTTTGTTTTTTTTACCTATAGGGCCTTTGTTTTTATATTTTCATTGAAAAGTTGTTTTTAGAGTAGATATGTACTTTTTTTAAATTTTATCAAGAAATTTTTTTCACTGGAAATGTTTTCCTAAACGCTTCGTGTTCGTAAAATAAAAGTAAAAAATTTTAACATGTTCTGGAAATTTCTTTCTGGAAGTGCTGGAGATTCCACTTTTCGCCTTCAACTTTTTTGCTGCCTTAGCCATTCTTTCTGAAACTTTAAATTTACTACATATTTTTATTCTTGACCAACTGTTTGGTATCAGAGTTAAAATTTGAACTTTTTTACGTAGATTACTGGTTGTTGATATTTTATCCCTTAATTCTAGTATCAAATCTGACCAGTTAATGCAATTCTCACACTCTACGCTCGTACTGCTTAGTGGCGTTGTTATTTGGTGATAAACCACTAACAACAGCTATTTTTTCTGCAACTGTTATTTGCACTTTCCGAATTTTACCTTTTACATAACTAGCATGATCTCTCTTACTAATACGTTTTATTAAAGGTGATATTCCAATCTTATAAAGGTTAGTATAATAGTGTTAGTTGAAAAAAATATATCATCTATGTCATAAATATCGTCAATATTTTCACTTAAAGACTTTGCGGTTGAATAAGTTTTGCGGCAATCCGGACCCATTTTTTGACCTTGACAACTTTATTTGTTAACTTTGAAAGACAGTTTGCAGTCTCTAGGTCAATACATCTCAACCCTTTAACTGAGCAATGATTGTCCATACCAAAAGGGTTTAGACAATAGCGCTGCAAATGAGTGTATTTAACCAACAGCAGTGATTTGTGGTCAAAACAAACTAAATTAATATTTTTAATCAAATTATAAGTTCGCCTGACAATCAAATTCTGTCCTTCGTTCAAAAGTTCTGAGCAAAAGTCAATAAAACCTTTTTTTCGTGAATAAGTACTTAAATGGTATAAACTTCCGTCAAATTTCCCAATACAACAAGTACTAAAATTTTGTTTAACAGATATGTTAGGATAAATTTAAAAGAACTCTTATTCTAACATCAATTCTAATTTTCTTACTAAAATTAGCTCTACATGGTTATAGTTAATTTATACACCTTAATATCGTTTTTTAAATTATCAAAGACTTTGCAGACCTAACTTAGCTCATAAAAATTTCTCCAAAATGGCTTTTATTGTTTCTAGATGTTTAAAGTAAGCTCTTTTCAACAAATAATAAAACAAACAAAATTTCCTTACACTGAGTTTTAGGGTTTCAATATCACGATATTTAAGGGTGTTTCGCTATATTGCTTCTAAAATAACCAAAAAAAGATATTTATAAAAAAGCTAATTTTTGTTTAAAAGATATGACCCTACAAAAAACAGAATAAATTTATGGAGTTGAATTTTTGACCGTGAACCATAGACTAAAATGTAGGCATAATATAAAACTTGTTTTAATTTTTTTGTAATCATCACCTTCGGTTTACTAAGAAACCACGTTTTTAACATATATTATCGATAATATATGTTAAAAACGTGGTTTTTAACATATATTAACGGATATATCCGTTCATTGACCCCAAAAATAAAGTTTTTATTAAAATCGGAGATGGTCGAGCTCGGGGATATTTCGGAAATTGGACCGTTTGGCGTGGAATGACCCAATACCAAAAAATCCTTGGTAACTGCGTGCAATTATTTAGTGTAAAATTCATGAAAGATATTAGGTATTTAAAAATGTTTTTTTTGTTTTGTTTGATTGTTTGTTAACAACAAATAAGTAATATTAAACAAAAGTAAGTAAAATAAAAAATACTTCTTTTACTAATTGGACATTCTCACAAGTCTCCAGCGGTCCGTGTACATTTGGTGCTCATTGTGTGCGAAAAAGATTTGGTTGTATTATTATTTATTATGAAGTTATTTGTGTTATTTACATAGTTATGGATCCTTCGGCAAGGTTAAAAATTCTGACAAATAAAGCTAACGATTTCCCTTTCGATATAAAGATACCAGTAATTCGTTATGCTCGTTCTTTAAAAGAGCTAGAGAGAATGGTATGATATTTGATTAAAAATGTTTTCTTCGAATAGTTAGTTTTCATGACAAGTCATAGTTATTATTATTGTTATTTTTTTTTTATGTTTTTGTAAATACATAGGTTTAAATTTTAGAATTAAATGATTTTCTTTAATAAAAAATGTATAACAATGAAAATAAAAATGTCTATAACTAAATAGATAAATTTTTTAATTAAAAAATGTGGATAAGAGTAAAAGTAAGATAATGTTCAAAAGTATGTAAAAAAAAAAATATATATATATATATATATATATATATATATATATATATATATGTATATATATATATATATATATATATATATATATATATATATATATATATATATATATATATATATATATATATAATATATATATATATATATATGTATATATATATAAATATATATATACATATATATATATATATATATATATATATATATATATATATATATATATATATATATATATATATATATATATATATATATATATATATATATATATATATATATATATATATATATATATATATATACAGTATCACCTAGCAAGACAACCCAGATCTTCAATTTTTTTTCTTCAGATCTTCAAATTTTTTCAAAAGGTTCAGTCATAGGTTGATAATACTTTCTCAGTGTGTTTTTTTATTAATGGTTTGTTACCCACATAAGTTTTCAACTTACAACTAGAAAAGTTTGAGATAAAAACAAAACCTTTTGTTAATGTATGTACATTCCACTATCCCTATGACCATATCAATTGATGTACTCATACTCCACTGCGTCAATAGATATATCAGTTGATGTATGTAAGCTTTGTTATGCTACTGCTATATCAAATTGTATATGTACACAATATGTAAAAAAAATAATAAACTTGATTATACAAAAACAAATATTGTTTGTCAAGAAATATAAGATTAGTTACAAAAGTTGATTAGTCAAAAAGATTAAAAAAGTTTGAACGTTTTTTTAAAATCAAAGTAGCAAATTTTTTATTGTAAAAGATTTTTTAATTATAAAACTTACCTTGCAAAGATCTATAGGTGTGTTTGTATGTGTTTTTAGGTTTAGGTTATGTCATTAGGTTATGTCATTTAAAAAAAATTTGTATTGAAAAAGTTTCGAGGTTTTATGTATAAAGAAAGAAAATAACAAAAATTAATAATAAATATTAAGTTTACACTTGTTAAATTTTTTCAAATCTTGCTACTTATAATAATTGTAGAAACTACTAGATGCAAAAAAATGCCGTTTTAAATCCCCTAATGTGCTTAGAGATAAACATATATTTACTTATATATATCTAAGACAGTATCAGTCAATAATTTTGAATAAAGAGTTGCTAAACTTGAAATAAATGGTTGCCATTTATTCAAAAAGCTATTTAAAAAAGATTAAATTAGATATTTTATTATATAGAATTAAACCAAGGAGTGACAATGTCTAAATTAGTTATTGGAAATAATTTTGAATAAAATCATTTTTACAAGAATATATAGTAGCATGTTAGCCACTGAAAATGAAAGTAACAAGCTAGCCACTGTTGAAAATTTAAATTATTTATATCTGATAAATTTTTATGTTGTCTGGACCATTTAATTAAAACTATTTGACTGAAGAAATCAATAGCATTGTTATAAATCACTTGTCAATCAATGTTAAAAAATAATTAAAATTGAATCAGAAACTAAGGATCAATCCAAAAGCTATTATTGTTTAAAGAATAAAGTAAAATACTAACTGCATCAAATTTTGGTATAGTTATAAACCATAGAAAAACTACTTCTCTAACTTCTTCGTTAAAAAAAAATTATAAGAAACCAGGCCTTGTTTTAAATAAAAAATCTCAATGCATTAGCCTAGTTTAAATTTGATGCCATAAAAATCTCTTTAATTTTTTTATTTTTTAAAGATAATTACTTTTTTTTTTTAATAATCATAAATATCTAAACTTAATTTTGCATTTTTAAAAATGTTTGATATAAACAAATTTATTTCTTTTCTTGATTATTGTATAAATGAATTAAATTATTTTAAATTTTTTTAAATTTTATTCCTTAAATTTCTAATTTTGGCTTATATTAAAAATTTATTTAAAAAAATAAAAGTAGTAGTAGCAAATAAAAAAATTATATTAATTTATTACTTTATTTATTAAAAATTTGTTGTTTTTTTTATTAGCAATTTTGTTTTGAAAACAAAGATTATTTATCCTAAGACTATTAATTGAAATTATATTGCTGTATATATCATTTATTAAAAAATAATTGCTGCGCTTTAACTTGTATTATAAAAAAAAAATTAACTTTTTGAGCAAATTTTTGATATAACACCTCAGAACACAATTAGAATTTAATTTTGAGTAAAAAAATCTTTAGAAAGCAAGCCATTAAACAATTGCTATAAAAGTGAGCTTTTTTTTTTTTTTTTTAAAGAATAAAATTTAAATATTGAACAATATTTAGTAATGATTTAAATAAATCAGACAGTCAAGTTAAACCCAACCATTAACTTTATTTTTAATAAACTTGGGTTTTCCGAAAAATTAAAACCGAAACTGCGGTTTATTAAAAACCGCAGTTTCGGTTTTAATTTTAAAAAAACCTGCGGTTACCAGTGGTTTTCAGTTTTTCTTGTTAAATAATAAAACTTATGTTGTTTATCTTACATTATTTATAAAAAAGTTATTTTTAAAAAGTGTTTTAACATATTTTGAAATAAAACTTACAATGACTATTTTTTATTGTAAAAAAATTAAAAAAAAAACGAAAGATTTTAACAATTTATCATATAATCGTGATCTGATTTTTGTGAAGAAACTAGTGCAGTTCAAAAAAATGTGTTCGACATCTGTTAAGGTGGGCTTTACAGAGAATAAATTGCATTGTAAATTTTAAAAGATTTTTTGTTCTTTTGCCCATAATTCGGTACAACATAAACTCTCGCTCAAGCTATTTGAATTGATCAGTAGATTTAGGCAAGTGTGTGATGTTATCTTTTTTAGAAGTGCATTTATTTAATCCTTAAGAGAAAGAGGTAAACTTTCAGATGTTGTACATGGTTCTTCAGCTAGTAGTGGTTTCTCATCATTAGAAATAAATCCAAAAAGCCTAAATGCAAGTTTTCCAGCAAAATTTAAAGTAATTTTTAATGGAACAACTGAAAAATCTTCTAGGCACCTTAACGACTGCAAAACATTTCTGTTAATTTTTTTATCAAAACACTTTTTTTAATTTGAATGCAAAAAGATGTGATTTCTGTATTCATAGCAAATAGTTTTGCAAACATGAATTTAAGAACATTATTAGTTGTCAATAACCTTGCATCTTCTCTGCTAAAGAATTCCACTGCTAGTTTAGCTGGCTCTAATGCAGTATGTAATAAATCTAATGACTCAAAATCTAGCTTGTTGATTACATCAAGAGCATTTAATTCATTATGAAATAAAAATTTGTTAACATTATGTTCAGGGTTGTTAACATGTTCATTGTTTACTGATTCAAAAATTATTATCATAAATTCCATGTTCATCCTCTCCTGAATCACTGTTTGTTTCATTGGGAATTAGTACGTTTGTGTCTATTTTTTTTGTATTACATGTCGTATACACTAAAATGAATTCCATGATCAAACCAAAACTGATCAACTATGTTTGTTAATTGCATGAGCCTCTTGTTAATTGCTGCACCATCTTGAGTATAATCTACTATGTCACTTTTCATACACACACCGAATGGATTTAAATGATTCTTAACATGTTGTATTAAATTTTCAGCTGGACAGGAACCAAAAATCCTAATGAAACCAATTTTATAGGTTTCTTAAATTGGCTTTCATGCAGGTTGACATCAACACCTTCTGTGTCTCAAAGATGTGTAATTCATCATGCGTTAAAAATGATATTAGTGAGAGTAAAAAATGCTGGTCTCCTGTTTTACTTTTATGTTGCATTATATAAGAAAGCTAATAATTACATAATGCAATTTTAGTAGAGTTGATGCTGGCTTCTTTAAATTGTTGTTGGACAGTGTTTTCATTGAAAACACTAAAACTGAATATAAAATTCTGCCTTCAATGTTAATATGAGAGCGCATAGAAATACAGTGGAGCTTCAACACAATTAAAAAATACATGACCATAGTTAGTTAACAGACACTGTATTAATTACAGATTAGAAATTGTAATAAAAGATGCTATAAAACAGTTTAAAAATTTTAAGGATTGCAATAATTTTTATACAGCTATTTAATCTATTGAGAAAAATATGCTGCTACCCTATTATTGAGTATTACACGCTGAATAATTTCAAGGAACTTGATTTGCATCCCATTCTATAAAAGGCTACACCAATCTATTTCATAACTGGCCAGCTTATCTAGTTGCCTTACCAAATGCACTAGCAAACAATGAAGAGTATCGTAAAAAACAAGACCAAAAATAGAGGGGCTCGTAAAGAAATTTACAAAATATACCATCCTTTTCAAAACTTCCATTCTTTAAAAATTGTTGCTTCTTGTTCTTGGAAGTGTACTTTTCAAGCAGCTAACGAAAAAGTTTTATAAGATACTTTATATTTTTCCAACCATTATCCTGATTATCTGTCCAATATTTATTTTGACTACATATTTTGAATTTATTAGTTTTATTCATTAAATAAGTTTAGTTTTATTCATTGTTAGTTTTAATGACTTTATTATTTTTTTACACTATATTCTTGTTCAGTTTAAAAAATCAAATAATATATTTTCCAAATAAATAGCAATTAATTTTTTTATTTTTCTATTATATATGTATTGAGAAAAAACGTCAAATATAGCAAAAATATATTTAAAAGAGAAAAAGCATGAAAAAATTTTTCATTGTTCTAGCGTATATACCTAATTAGTTTCTTATTTATACAGACTGATAAAAATCATGAATAAATTGTATATCAAAACTTTAAATTGTTTTTAAGTTGTAACAAATTATGTTTTTTTTTCTTAACTTGTATCAAATTCGTTAGCTAAAAATAAAAGAATACAAAAGTTGTATAAATTTTTTTTTTTTAATTATTAAATTTTTTAATTTTGTTTAAAATTTTATATTTCATTACAATTATGTTTCCTTTTTTAGTATTGGTTATTTTTTTCTCAGTAACTTTTTACCACAAATTATTGAAATGTTTTAAAAGTTAAAAGATGTGAACTAGTGATGTGTCTGGGACCTGGATAGGGCCTGCAGACTCAAAATCTGCCATTTTTCCCAGGTACTTGGCACCGCGTATCCAAAAATAAATCCTTAATAAACATTTACCTTAAATGCTGTAACTATGTTTAACTAGTACTTTGAATTCTAAATATTATTAACAGGATTTTAGTTTTAACTACAACCAAACTTCTTGATATAAGTCTAAGAGTGTTATGGAGTCAATAACCACTAAGTCTTATTTACTCAATTTAGACCGGTCTTGCTTGAATTTTTTCATTTTATTCACACTGCAGTCTACTTTTAATTTTTTAAGATTTAATATTTGCAATATTGGTATCTATTATTTACAGTTTAACAAAACATACACTAAAACTTAAAGAACAATTAACTGTGCAAAACAAAAATAGAATAATCAGACACTTGGTGTGTCTGATTAATTTATTTTAAATGTGGACAGACAAGGTGAGCGGTTGCACGCACTTCCTGGGAAAGCTTTTTATTGCAATAAATGGATCTTTGAAAAAAATTTAAATTTTCACTTGCATATTTTTTTCTGTTCGGTTTCTCAATTATTAGATCAAGAGAAATAAATATAAAATTTATAGTTTATAAGTTGAATAAGATTAAAGATTTAAACCTTTATTTAAACTTTAAATTATGAGTTATAATTTATGTTTCAGCATGGGTGAAGTCAACTTCTACTTTAGCCCTCCAACATTGCAATGGAATGAATGTCCCTCTAAGTGGTAGGGTGCATTACACTTTTTACGATTAATATAAAGACACTTACAAGTAGAATTTGGCAAGGTTCTCAACGAAGGTTTTGTTTGCACCTCCTTCATCTGTTAAAAGTGAACACCTATTCAGCACAACTGGAAACATATTTTGAAACCAAAAGAAACAGGTTTTTGCCTGGGCATTGAGTACTAAGTGCATTATATTAAGTTAGTAATATTATTACATTATGTAATAATATTACTAACTTCACTCATTCTTACTAAGTGATTTCATTATACTTATTATACAATTTAATGTATGGTTTATATTTGAGTTTATAGTTTATTAGGTTTGATTAAATTAATGCAATGAAGTGAATCAAGTCCCATTTATTTATATATAGTAGTAATTACTAAATACTATTATTAATTAGAGAAATGTTTTCTATATAATTTAAAATTCAAAATCTAATTTCAAACTTCAAAGGCCAGTGTCCAAATGTAAGATTCAATAGATTAAAAGTTCAAACTAGATTATTCAAAAAATATAAATTGTTTACGCTTGTTGAGAAAGTGTATAAGTGAGTATTACATTCAGAATTGCTCAGTCAAAGTTGTAGATTTTATTTTATACTTTCTATTATTTACCTAATAAGTAATCAGTTTCCTTGAAATAAGCTATAAATTACAGTTAAATTATTTAGTAATAATTTTTAATTACCCATATAAAATATTAAAATCTATATGCAACTGTTTTCTGTATTGTTTCTTTTATATGACTATAATTTTGTATTTTTTTGAATAAAAATATAAATATCAAAAAAGCAAATTTATAACTTAAAACCCTTTAACCTTGTTATTGGTATTTTATTATAATCTAATGGTGTATACATAGTGTCTACATAATGAAATATCTTGTGAATTAATTGTGAATTAATCTAATGGTGTATACACAGTGTCTACATAATGAAATGTCTTGTGAATTTGCAACTGGATAGCTCAGTTGGTTAAAACGTTTTGTCTGAAAAAAATGTCTTTAAAATTTTTAAAAACACTCAAAAAGCAATTAAAAGATGTCTTTTAGGACCAAATGCAGGCTGGTGAGGTATATTGTTTGTTACCAATTAGTTAATTTTAAATTATGTTACTAATTAGCATATAGTTAGATAGTTTGGTACGCAAGATAACAAACTCAGGCATATAAATATAAAAGTATTGGCTTAGGCCAAAACTTTGGCAGAAGCTTCAGTATCGGCAAATTCTTGACTTTGGTACATCCCTAATTTTTATATAAAGTTTGTTAAAGAGACTCGTTGTCTAAAAAGTTGTTGTTTGTATGTCAGTCATTTGTTACTTTATTTATAAGTATTATTATTTTTTTTATTTTTTTATTTTTTTTATTTTTTCACTCCCAACAAGGCTGCAAGCAACCACTATTAAGTTGGGAGTTAATAGAAAACAAAGAATAGATTTATAGAGCAAGGAAACAGTTGACAGAAGACTTAAAAAGTAATAAGTTGTATTAGTCAGGAAAACATAAAGATGGAAGAGAGTTCCAAAAGGATGAAGAACAGAGAAAAAAACTGATTGGAAAATAAATTTAAAGATTACTTCTTCCTAGTTTTCGATATCCGGGTGCTTAAAAGCTTATGGAAAACTAATAGGAAAAAAATTTAAGATTTTAAGGTTAGAGGAACAATCAGTTTTTGAACTTGGGGTCCTTGGGTATAATGGCAGCAAGGACTCCAGGACTCTGGCCTTAAAAAAGTTCCATGTCATTAAATCTCATGAATTTTGTTCTTATAGCAGATCATAAGTCAGCCAACATGTTTAGAAGTTCTGGACACTAGAGAAAAAAAATACATATAAAGCTGGAGTCCTTTTAGAACTCCGCATCCCTGTCAGGGACAGATACAGTAAAAGAATATAACTTTGCTGAATGACAAGTCAAGCAAAAATGGATGATGATTTCAGAGATGGATTTTATATGATGATTTTAGAGATGATAGCTCCTTTGAGCAGCGACCATGATAGTATTTGTAAAAAAGAGCAAGAGATGCAACCTTATGACAATGTGAGAAATGCTCAAGCTAGGCAGATAAAGTAGTTCCAACTACATTTACAATGCGTTTTCGGACCTTGTCTAGAATAGAAAGAGCATATTATAAGAACCAGCCCAAAAATGAAAACAGTATGTTATACAGAGACAAATAAAAGATTTCTAAATGTATAGAATGGAATCAGGAGTAATATGATTGGGAGCATGATAAAAAGAAGCAATTTTAGCAGATGCTAACTTTGCAGTTCATTGTATATATGGTTTCAATAAGAGCTCAGTGGTGAATAATAATCCAAGAAGATGTAAAGAAGAGGACTCAGTGAGAGGGTTGTTGTTGTTAGTTATGTTATTTAGCCTTTGTGCACTGTGAGTAATCATTTTATCATTCATAACTTTGCTCCACCCTACTTCATTAAAAACCTTTTCTAATGAAGTAATCGAAAACTAGGAAGAATAATAGATATTAAAAACGAGGAAGAAGTAAATTTTTAATGAAGTAGGCGAGAAAATAATAGATCAATTTTTGGTGGGTTATATGATGAATGAATCATGTCTATAAACTTTAGGTTTTCACCTGTTTTAAAAAACACAGAGAGGAAAACTAGCTATTTTGCTATTAATTGTTTTCAAAATTATTTTAAAATTTTGGTTTTTTTAGTAGATGTTATCTAAAAAAAAAAAAAAAAAACCAAAACACTGACAAAAACTCAATAAAACCCCTAAAAAAATTACTGGGCAGATTAAAAAAAAAAAAATACAACCTGCCTAGGGTTTCCATTTTAAACCAGGGTTTTTTCCAACCCTGCTTTATAGTGATGGAAGAGAATCCTCTAAAGAGCATCATCAATCAACCCTTGAAAGCAGCTGAGCACTGGATGGTGTTTATGTTGGCTTTTCAATAGGCCACTCTTCATATTATGATCTTGTGTTAGCCATACTTTTAATTTTGAATCTTGTGAAAAACTGATTTCCTGCTTATTAATTAATTAATCAATCTGAAATTATAATGTGAAAACAAAACTGGGAAAAATAAAAAACAATAAAATTTACAATTCATTACTAAAACCATCAGGTAATCTAAGAAATAGTTGCAAACTCTAAATATCTTTCTAACAGTTTAATTTTTGGTATGGAGTACTTTAATTAATTGAGGAATGCAGACAACCTTGAAAATAATAATTTCTAAAACATTTACTTTTTTTTCCATTGTTTGATTGTCCTTAAAAAGAATCTATTTACTTTTATTTATTTATTTATTTATTTATTTTTATTTTTTTTTTAGTTTTTTGTTTTTTTATTTTATTTTTTTTATTTTAAAAAAAAAGTGTTAGAATTTAGGTAATCATTTCAAAAATTAAAATGTTTATGGTAATTTAGGCTTTTATCTGCCATATTGTAAATACAGTGTTTTATTAAGTGCAATTGCAAGTGCAAAAGACAATTGTCCAGTTTTTGCATTTGCTGAGATATAGATTCATTTGTGACTAATGTCTTAATATTTATTTTTAGTTCTACTCTAACTATTTGTAACAACAAAATAAAATCACTATAGTTAATCCTTTCACAGTGTTTTTATGTCATTTTATGTGTAATGTGATTGTAAATAGCAAAAAAAAATTAAAAAAAAACAAACAGCTGTAACTGAAAATCAAGTGTGGACTTTTAAAAACAATAACATAACTAAAAATTAGTTGTTTTTGAAGGTTTATGAGTATTTATGTTATATATTATTTATTTTTATAACTAAATTTAATGTTTTTTATGTTTTACTTTATTGGTTTAATTTATTAGGCAATTATTTATGCTCAAGAAAGTCAAGTGGAAAATGCATTCATTTTATATATGAAACTTATTACGTAAGTGCATAAGTCTACAAATCATGTTTTATATAATTATTAATTTATTTAAAAATTTTGATATATTTTTTTAATTTTTAGAATATATTAATTAGTTTTAGCTTGCAATTATTATATATATGGTTTAAAATACGTTTCGATGAAAGGCTTATGAATTAGATAAAATTACTACAAATAGTAAAATGAAAACCACAAAAAGATGAATAATAAAACAATTGTTTGTTTTTTTGTTTTTTTTTTTGTTTTTTTTTTGTGTGTGTGAATATATTACTTACTAATAATAAATATTTTCCATGTCTTTTTAGTCTTTCTGTGGAAAAGTTACCAAAACATCCTCAATTCTCTGCTTTAGATACAGAGCAAAGGAGCATTATTAAAAAGGTTGTTTTGAATTTTATATATTAGTTGTTGCAAGGATCCCAAAGCCCTCTGGCATTTTTTATTTGGAAAAAAAAAAAAACGAAAAAAATTAATATAGAAAATGAGTATTAAAATAATACCTTTTATTATTTTTTAATAATAAACCGATTTTCAATTATATTATAAACCATAAACCCTCCTATATATTCACCATAAGCCCTTGTTTATTGTGTTTATATAAAGCAACCCAGAAAATTTTTTATGTGTAATGTGATTGTGAAAAGCAAAAAAAAAAAAAAAACAGCTGTAACTAAAAATCAAGTGTGGACTTTTAAAAATTTGATTAGTCAAAAATTACACTCAAGCCACACTAAAATTTGAGTTAAATAAAAAATTCCACTCAATTAAAAGCCTAAAAAAAAAAAAGATTAGTAATCTAACGTAATATTTTAAACTTTTATAACTTGTTTATAACACTAAATATTGAGAAATATGACGCAATATAGAATCTATTTGAAAAGCAACTGTTTCTTTCTGCTGGTCAACAAAAATGAAAATATAGAATAAAATACTACTAAAAAAAAATATATATATATGTTTTAAAAGTATTCATATTTTATCTTGTATAATTTTGTTTTAATAGTCCATCTAAAACCAGTGTGTTGTAGTAAACCAGTGTGTTTTATAAGGGTTGTAGTAAAGTTATATATTTTATAAGGGTTGTAGTAAAGTTATATATTTTATAAGGGTTGTAGTAAAGTTATATATTTTATAAGGGTTGTAGTAAAGTTATATATTTTTTAAGGGTTGTAGTAAAGCTATATATTTTATAAGGGTTGTAGTAAAGTTATATATTTTATAAGGGTTGTAGTAAAGTTATATATTTTATAAGGGTTGTAGTAAAGTTATATATTTTATAAGGGTTGTAGTAAAGTTATATATTTTATAAGGGTTGTAGTAAAGTTATATATTTTATAAGGGTTGTAGTAAAGTTATATATTTTATAAGGGTTGTAGTAAAGTTATATATTTTATAAGGGTTGTAGTAAAGTTATATATTTTATAAGGGTTGTAGTAAAGTTATATATTTTATAAGGGTTGTAGTAAAGTTATATATTTTATAAGGGTTGTAGTAAAGTTATATATTTTATAAGGGTTGTAGTAAAGTTATATATTTTATAAGGGTTGTAGTAAAGTTATATATTTTATAAGGGTTGTAGTAAAGTTATATATTTTATAAGGGTTGTAGTAAAGTTATATATTTTTTAAGGGTTGTAGTAAAGTTATATATTTTATAAGGGTTGTAGTAAAGTTATATATTTTATAAGGGTTGTAGTAAAGTTATATATTTTTTAAGGGTTGTAGTAAAGTTATATATTTTTTAAGGGTTGTAGTAAAGTTATATATTTTATAAGGGTTGTAGTAAAGTTATATATTAAAAAATGAGCTGCTTTTTTTATGTGGTAACCTTTTTTTTAAAAAAAAAATTATAAAAATAAATAATTTTGAAATGTAAATTGAGCATTATCAAAATTTTTAAGATATTTGTAGTTATACTCACATAATTCGAATTCTCAAAAGGTCTCAAAATTGTTTGAATTACAAGAATTGCAACATTTTTTGAATTATAGGAGTTAAATTCAAATATTAAACCCTGAAGGGGCCAAAAAAATTTTTTGATTTAAATTATCTTAAAAATTACTGGAGTTCATATTACTAGAGTTCAACTGTACTACAGTTTTAAAAAAGGATTAAAGTAACTTAAAAATTGAAAAAACTAATTTTTTAAACCTATAAAACTATAATAAATTAATAAAATCATTATTTATTTATTTTACATAGAGATGTGCATTAGCAATAACAATAGCTGAAGATTTAAAAAAAGAAATCAAGCAGTTATATGAGGAAGAGTATCGACAATGGATTGAGGACAAACAAGATGAAGTAATTTGATTATATTTTTATAAAATTTAGATTTCTAAATGTATAGTAGTGGAAAAAGTAATTAGTTAAGTTGGAACACAGCTTATTACTACTTGATTATTACTTATGCTGCAGTTTCGTAATGTCAAATAGGAGTTTTTAAATTGTAAATAGTTGCATGCTAAAGTAAGAGGTAACAACAGCCTGAAACAGTTAAATGTACCAATGAAACCAAATTCATTCGAATTGATTCACATTGTTAGACAATCTGTGACATTACTAGCAAATTGCCCTCCGTGATACAGTTCTTAGTGAATGTAAATTAAAATATTGTCAGATATGTATTTTTGACTAGATACTTTTTATTGTTCTGAACAGATGATTAAAAAACTTCAAGAAATAGTTTTAAAGTGCAGCTGCATTATGGGATGCATTCCAAAATCAATGCTTTGGATGGTTCAGAAACTCATGCCATTGTCACTGCTTTCACTTTTTAGCACAATCAGTTAAAGTGAGTGTGAAGAAGTCTGATGTTTTTATGCTGAGTTTATTCAATTTTGCTCAGCTTCACAAAAATTATGTAACAAGTAGCCTAAGATTTTTTCTGATTATTTGTCAATTATTTGCAATTATACGATTTTTTGGATTAATTTTTTGCAATCATGTGACCAGCCAATAAAAAGTTATGCAATCATCTCTTCACTTGTATTCTCCATCATCCGGTGGCCTTCTAATGGGCTCTTTTTAGTTAGCTTCAAATGCCCTATTTAAAAAATCAAGCAGCTGCAGCCTTGTTCCCAAGTTTTGATGTTTTGAAAAGCATGACTCTTTGATGATGATCTTTCCTCTCATCCTTTCCGCAAATAGTTAATGACATGCCTTACAAATACCTTGCATCATAAAAACCATATTAACACCATTGATAGATTTGAGCAATACTTGTCTATTTTTTCATAACAGCATGTAATCAATTTTACTGGTATCACCATGTTGTTGAGCTTGATTTAACACTTTAAAATCTTTTATATTTGGCTATAGTAATGATGCTGTAACTGTCAAATGTTAGAAAATGCTCTCACAGATAAAATATAATCAGGGTAAATTTATAAACAATGAGCTGCCTTATAGTACCATTACAAATACCAATGAGTGAAAGAAAATATGCTGAGTCAGCTTTTTTAAGTTGTAACCATAACTTAAAAAAGTAACCTCCTTGACTGTAATGCTTAGAAGGGTTGGGTAGGTGAATTAAAATAAAAAAGTAATATAAAAAAAGTTATATTAAAATTGTGTTAGTTATAGTTTATATAAATTAAATAAAATCCTAAATAAAAATTTAAAAAGAAGTTAAAAATATTGCAGTTTATTTTTTGAGCCAAATGCTTATGCTGTTTTTTAGAAGAAAAAAATCATACAAGACCATTTATGTAACAAATAATACCTACTTTTTCAAAAATAAATTTTACTAATTTTATGTGGAAATAATAAATAAAGCATTTAATAAATTTACTTTCTTATTTATGTTTTTGTTATTTAATATTTTAAGTTTATTATTTACTTTCTTGTTAAACATGAGACATGCTTAACATGTTAAGACATGCAAATATAGTAGGTCAAGTAAAGTTACTACAAAGATGCCAATAGTTACATAAAAGAAAAAAGAAAAATAAGATAAAAATTATGACATTGATATTCTTTGATATAATACTCAAAGAAGTATATATCACTATGATTGGTTGAATGTCCTGGAAAATTACATTTTTTCATAAATATCCTAAATGAATGGCTGTTGCATTATGTTCTATTTTTAAAAAGTCAATTATGTTAAAATAAAGAAAATACTTTAAAAAGTCAATTACATTGTAATGATAAATATAATAAAAATAAATTATAATTATAATTACTAGCACTTTTTTAGTTGTTTAAGTGTTCAGTTAGTCCACATGTAATCCAAAAATAAGTTTATTTATAAATATTTTATTTATGTTGTTTATAATGCATGATTAGGATTTAAGAAAAAAAAATTTAAATTACTGATTTTGAAATTATGACACAAAGGGCAGAGTCATTGTAAGTTAAAAAAATCCTTTTTGAATTTTTTTCTAATTATATCTATTAACAAAAAGTAGAAAAGACTACATGCAAATTATAGATTAAAAGTATAGATTAAAATGTATGTATAAATTTCTTATTGTGGATTGGAACTGCATATTCCATAATCATCTAGGTGATTATTGTCAAGGTTTCTGTTCACCTACACCTGTAAAATAAAAATTTACAATAAACCAAATAATTTTTGATGCAATTTGGCTCAAAAAAATATAATTTAATCATTACTTTTAATTGTTTACTTTATAAAATTATGAAAACAAAATATTTTTATAATAAAATTAACTTTTAATAAATTAATTGTGTTTGTGTTCATGTATCTTTTGGTTACTTAGTGGTTTAGTTCGCTGCTCTCTGTGAGGAGTAACTGTTTCTGAAGGTTTGGATCTTCCACTTGGTTAAAAAAATATTTTTGTGTTTTTTTAATCTTACTGATTTTTAAATACAAAACAAAACAGTTTAAGCAAAATGGCTTGGTATTGTTAGGAATTGTTAGAAAAGTTTACTTATTATAATATATAAATATTACATACACAATCCTGAAGAAGAATCAGTTCAGCATTATTAGTATAGATTTTTTATTTTTATAGATTTTATTTTATTCTTTAGCCAGATTTTTTATATTTATAGATTTTATTTTATTCTTTAGTTAGAAATTTTTATATTTATAGATATATTTTTTTTTTACATAGATTCGATGTCAAAAAAATTTATAATTTTTTAGGTGAAATCTGTATCTCAGAAAATTACTTATGTAGCTTCGCAAGATAATAATAATTTACATTCTTCTGAATCTCTAAGTCCAGACTTTTTTGCAAGTAAAAGTTCAAGCCATACTCCTAGTCAAAACCAAAAACCTTCAAGTCAAAGTCAAGAACTTATTCCAAGTCAAAATCAAGATGATAATAAAATCTCACTTCCTTCTTATTCAACTATTTCCCTTGACCAACCTTCGGTGTCAGTTTGTTCAACCACTTCTCATGTTTACCCTACAGCTCCACCTTTTAAAGACTTTGTTGATGATGCACTACTTTTAGATGACTTCAAAAACACTCAATATAAGCACTCAGACACTTTTCAACCAAATGTAAATAGATCCACTAAACCATTGAGTATGATTAACGACTTGAAAAATAATTATGAAGGTGTGTAGTTTGTTACAGTTTTGGTTCTCTGCAAAGTATTTGTTGAGCAAAATTTATTGTTTTTATTGAGTTTATACTTTTTTGTTCTTTACTAATTAGTTACATTTAAAAAAATTTTTTTTTAGAAACACACTCATCTTTGAATGGCAAGCGCTTTATTATTTTACCTGCAGATTTGACAGACAAGTTTTTACTTTTAGCTGCCTCTAATACAAAAAGAAATATCGAAACATGTGGAATTTTATGTGGTAGAATGGTAAATTTATGTTTTAATAGATTTTTAGAAACATTTGTAAAATTTATTTATTATGATAAAGCCATAGATATTTAAAAACTTATTTTAGGTTCAAAGCCAATTTAGGGTCACACATTTAATAATTCCTAAACAACATGGCACCTCCGATTCTTGTACCACAGAGAAAGAAGAAGAAATGTTTGATGTTCAAGATAAATACGATCTTATAACAGTAGGATGGATTCATGTAAGTATTTTATTATTTTTATAATGGAGATAATATTATAATAAGAATATTTGGTGACTATTTTAATATACTATAAATAGACAATGTTATTTATTTGGTATTCTGCCTATTCTGCTACTTTTATTATTTATAGATTATTTTTATATTTTGTATTCTGCATTAAAAAGGATTACATTTAAAGGATTACATATAACCATTTTTTTTATATTTTATTATAACAAATAATTAGCATATTTAATACTTAAAATCTATAGATGGTAAGTTATGATAAAAATCATTTCATTTCTTGATGATAGCAAATGATTGTCATTTTTCTCATTAGTTGTAACTTCTTCCAAAAATAGCCATATAATATGTACACTTGCAAATAATAAGAGTATTTTAGCAAGTTCTGTTTGGATGTTTTATGTTTGCTGACCACTACTTATAAGAGTTTGCTGTTTAATTTTAGCGAACAGTTACGTGTAAAGATCAATTTCATTTGCAATCGGACTTTTCTTTTCTAAATCTTTATATGTTTGCATATTTTTTATAAAGATTGATTTGATTTTTTTATTTACATTTCTATTTATTACAATGTGGAGCTGAATCATCACTGGTGCTACAAGACTCTGGTGATGTTTTATAGGTGTCAAGTAGCCTTTCACTAAGAAAAATAAGCCTTTTACTGAGAAGGTATAACATTTCACAAAAAAAGATTGTGATGTTTGTCACACATCTCAATTGTGTAACACTGTGTTTTATCTAAACCCAAGAAAATAGTCTGGAATGTGTATCAATAAAAATATATAGATATACCTGAGTAGTCAGAAAATAATTGGGTGCTGTGACACGACCTAGTCACAAAAAACAAAAAGCCCACAGTGTAGTTGAAATATGCAGTTCAACAAAGCAGGTTGGATCCCTCAAAATAACTAAGTGTAGCCAAATTTTGGTACTTTAGGACCTAGTTAAATTTTAGATTTTGGGCAAAAATGACTATTCGTAGCATTTTATTGTCAATTTTTGTATTTGTTTCATTAAAATATTATGCTCCTGTTTTATGATTTTTTTTATTGGTTGATATTTGACTGGGGCCAGGTTTGATAAAGTATAGCTGGCGTCGGGTTTGTGTCGGGTAAAGTGTTTTTTAATCAAAATTTATGTTATATTTTTTTATATAAAAATTTTTTAAGCTAAGCTTTTTTTCTGCGGTAAAAAGTGGCCAAAAAGTTTTTTCACGATTAAAAATTAACATTGCTAATAGTTAAAAAAGAATTCTAAAACTTTTTTTAAAAATGTTGTATTTTTATAAAAAATAAAAAATACAACATTTTTTTCTAACCTTTGTCTTAGACTATGCTTCCTTTTCTTGTCTATTTAGAGTCATACAACACATCCATCTGATCTTCTCTTTCAGCAAAAACTACACCATATAAATATGAATGTTATATAAATATGTAAGGATATTGCATGCCAGCATTTAAAAAATTGCAAACATATATTTATACCCATATATATCCATATTGTGTTTTATCTTACCTAACCTCCTAGATCTAAACAGGTTTGGAAGCTTTTTTCCTTCTATTCAGTTTAAAGTCAAGCCTCATTCTACCCCACATTTTTCACCATCTTAAGCAGTTGCATTATTAAACTGTAATCTTTTTTTTTTTTTCATCTTTTTAACAAGAACATCTCTCTTAAATATCTTTTTCTTACTGCGAGAAGCCATTGTAAAATGGTCCTGTCCAATGTTAAGCTCTGTTATTCTCAGATTACTAAATCTCGTATTTTATTTTCAGATGTTAGGTCCTAGAGACTTTTAGAAAGTCTTCAACAGTGTCATTAACTGTCATGGAAAAGTCATGGAATTTTATTTTCAAATTTGAGTGTCATCAACTAAAATAAGTCTAACATTTAATCTCTAGTTCAAGGGTCTGATCTTATTACTCCTCCCCAGACAAAGCAGTTTTATTTGCAAAGAAACTCTAATTAGGCTCTTGAATCTAATGGTCTTCCTCTTCCTGCTAGTTAAACAGATTAACCCATTGTTAGACATCCAAATCACTCTGGTTTCCGATGTTAAAGTTAATTTTTAATTAGACTCCTATACAGCTTGTGGTTTAGACACGGTTTTCTTAAAATCTTTCTAACTGCAGTATTAAAGTTATTCTCAAAGGTCTACACTCTTCTTCATTTCCAGTATCTTAAAGGGTACCACTTGGTTCTACTTTGCTTCTGTATTGTTTCTTATCTACAATAAGAGGTTAAGTGTTTGTTAATTAAAGATTAGAAAACTTGCTTATGATAGGAAGAAGACTAATAGAACGGAAGTTAGATAAATCAGATTGCTCTCCAGAATTTTTGAAAATAGGGCTAACAGATGCCGCTTTCCAGCAGGCTGGAAAACAAGGCTCTGATAAGCATTTGTTGAATAGTTTTGAAAGTATAGATGACAGCTCCAGAGAACGCTTCTGCAAGACTATAACAGGTATGTTGTCCGGGCCACAAGCTGTATAAGAGTCTAAGCAGGAAATCACTTTCGATAAAGAAACTCGAGGTAGTTGTAAGATGTACAATAATAGGGGGATTATTATTATTTAGTAATAGGGGGATTCAGATGATGAAGAAAAGAGAGATCAAACTGTGATCAGAAGCATTTAAAGGTGAATGTTGAGAAACTGAGCACTGACTAGGATTAGAAAAAAGACATAAGTTGAGTAGAGAAGGTAAATTATTCAGGTTGTCAAGAAAGCGAGTTAAAAAGTTGATTATTTGAGTAAGGGATTGAGAAAGGCAAAAGTTGTGGGTTTTAACGCCTGCGGAGTCACTGACACTAGTGCCAAGCCATTCAGTGTGATGAACATTAAAGTCACAGACAACAACAATATTGGCTGATGGATAAAGAGAGAGGGCTTGGTCAATATGATCTGAAATAAAATAAAAAAGAGTGCAGTCTTGAGATGAAGGAGAGCGATATAGAACATAGTGAAAGGTGATAGAGTGAAGTGAAGCTAAACGAAAGCACATTAAAGAATAGTCTGTTGATTCAAACCTAGTTTGCCGACAAATGGGTGAATTCTTATAAATGTAAATGCTCAGGCCAAGCATGTGACTATTGGAGTCTTTACAAATTAAAGGAAGAAAACTATCAACACTAAGATCACAAAATGAGACAGCTGAACTTAAATTAGTCTCACAAAGAGCAAGTAGGTCTGGTGAACATTGCAAGAGATAAGACTCAACAGAAGAAAAGTTACTCCGAAAACAACGAATATTAGTAAATGATAGGTTTAGAGAACTTGGTGATGACAAAGGCTTTTTGTGATTTATAGTTTTTGGTACTTTATTCATTTTTAAATTTGTTAAAGAACTTCTAAGCAATTGCCTTATTACTATTAATAAACCCTAAGTCATAACCAAAGGCTCCAAATGTGGCCTTGGTAACGCACACCAAAAGTACAACACCATCCATGCGCAACTTGGCATTATTAATACTTTGACATTTTTCAGTTGTTGATGGAATCAGCTTCTCTAAGAACTACCACAGAGTTCGGGAAACCTGACTACCAGCCGGCCTCTACCAGACAACCATAAAACTTAGTTTTAGAGCTGTACCCTCCATAGGTGATAATAGAATAAGTTGTCTAGTCATAAAAACAGAGATTCAAGCAAAACCTATGCATTGAGTCAAGAAGATCTAGCATTCAACATCCTAAACTGGAAACAATGTATTAAAAATACATCTGCCCCAGCCTAATAGATGAAGAAGGGGTGCGAGGCTGGTCAACAGATAGAATCTGTTTACCCCTTAAATCTTAGTCTAGGTGGCCTTCTACAAGACAGTAGCCAGATGCATTTAACATCTGCCCAAAATGAGTATTTTTATCAAGACACCATTTCTAGCCTTTACTCAACCAACAGTCTTAAGGGTGTTTTAAGTCAGAGTTGGCATCTCCTAGTTGGAGATGCAACTCTGAACGTTTTTTTATAATTATTTTATTAGGAGAAAGTTAATGTAAAAGCTTTGTGTGTCCCATTTCCGCGTTTTTTTTTAACTTTTGAGATGTATTTAAATGATTATGCATCTCACACTTTTTGTGTGAGATGTATAATCATTTAAAATGGTATTGTAAGTTTTTGGAACAATTAAACATTATTTAGGGGTAGTGCAGTTACCTAATTTTAGTAAATTGTACTTTTTATGCCTAAAACTCAACATTTTTCAAGATTTCACTGTCTGTTTTTCAAAATTCGTTTAAAAACTTTCATTATGTTATTTTTCACTAAGTATTACAGGTGAAAAATCTGGGCTAAAAGAAAAATATTTAAGGGTGGCACAGTATCAAGTTCAGTCATTTTGCCAAGTATTAATTTTTAAGTTCTTGCTGCAGTTTGTAGATCTGTCAAAAGAAGTACTAGATAATTCGATAAAAAAAAATACAGCCATCGATTGAAATCTCTTGTTAATAGTGTTGATAAATTGATATACTAAAGTTAAGAGAGTACATTCTTATGAATAAAATGTACAAATCAAAAAGTTTATTTGAAAGCAGTTTAAAGTTCTTTTTTAATTGCTTTTAAATTTCCCATAGAATTTCCCAGGGTAATTCTATGGGAAATTCCCGTAAAAAAATTTTTGTATATATCCTGGCAAGTCAAAAAGATTATTAACTTATTATTTTATATGTGCTCTATTATGGCAACATAATGTTATTAAATGCTAATTTTTAATGGAGTTTATTGATTCAGAACGGCTAGCAGCAGTACTGTATTACTTCAATTTTCAAAATTTCAAGTGTATTAGTTAAAAAATGAAATAGTCTAGAATGGAAAATCTTTAAGAAAAGATTGTCATGATGAATTTAGTGAATTTGGTCTTGAAAAAAGTTTAGTTGTTGGTTCAAAACTTCCAGTAAAAGTTAGTCTTTTAAGAAGATATTTGTACCTCCAAGAAATTGATAGTATTAGCGGGGAAAGATTGTCTTCAAGCTGTGATGTTTTTAGAAAAATTTTAACCA